AGGTCAAACGTTTTCTGTAAGTCTTCACAAGGTTTTCACAAACCTTGTTGCTGGTATTTTGGTCCATTCCTCCATGCAAATCTCCTCTAGAGCAGAGATATTTTGGGGCTGTCGCTGGGCAACACAGACTTTCAACTCCCTCCAAAGGCTTTCCATGGGGTTGAGATCTGGAGACTGGCTAGGCCACTCCAGGACCTTGAAATGCTTCTCACGAAGCCACTCCTTCGTTGCCCGGGCGGGGTGTCTCAACTATGAGAGACAAAATGGGGGAAAAAACTCAACTATGAGAGACAAAATGGGGGAAAAAACTCAACTATGAGAGACAAAATGGGGGAAAAAACTCAACTATGAGAGACAAAATGGGGGAAAAAACTCAACTATGAGAGACAAAATGGGGGAAAAAACTCAACTATGAGAGACAAAATGGGGGAAAAAACTCAACTATGAGAGACAAAATGGGGGAAAAAACTCAACTATGAGAGACAAAATGGGGGAAAAAACTCAACTATGAGAGACAAAATGGGGGAAAAAACTCAACTATGAGAGACAAAATGGGGGAAAAAACTCAACTATGAGAGACAAAATGGGGGAAAAAACTCAACTATGAGAGACAAAATGGGGGAAAAAAAATTACAGGCCTCTCTCATCTTTTTAAGTGGGAGAACTTGCACAATTGGTGGCTGACTAAATACTTTTTTGCCCCACTGTAGCTGGCATACCTGCACACATAGGACAGAAATATACTGACTGGCAACAGACAAACAGATCTATATCTCTGCCACCAGAGAAACGCAGATAAGGCTATCTTTATGGTTGTTGAGCACTGAAGCTAAGCTGGCCAGTGAAATAGTAATGGTTGTCTATGCATTGTTTTCTTGATTGCTTTGTTGTACGCGCCCAGAGTCACATATGTGAGATGGGCAGCTATATCAATCAATCAGTCAATCAATCTTCCACCAACCTGTATCATTTCTTGTTTACAGTTGTTTTTTACTAGGCTATTTTATATTAAAAAGAGGCTGGAAAAGGAAGGATAGTCTGTTAATCTTTTCTAATCTATGAGTGAACTGATCCAGATAATTTGTATTTGCACATAGAGCTCTGAACATTATAAGCTTAAAGGTTGTCTATTATGAAATTTCAAAGAATATTTTTGTGCATAACTATTATCAAATATAAGCAGTCCCCAGGTTAAAAAAGTCTGAGTTACGGACAACTCATATGAACGGGCTGCCTGTTACTAAAAATGGCAGATGGTGTTCTCCTTCCTGGAGCCGGTGAACCACTGAAGTCACACATTTTAAATATACAGCCTGTTTTCAGTGGTTCATGCAAACATTGCATGGTTTCAGTGGTTCGTCGGCAGGAAGGAGAACACTCTCTGCCATTTTCCATAACAGGCAGCCCGTTTGTAAGTACGAGTTCCGACTTACATACAAATTTGAGTTAAAGACAGGCTTAGGAACGGAACTCGTTCTTAACCCAGGGACTGCCTGTAGATATTGCAAAATGGTACTTTACTTCCTGTCCTCAAAATATTGATGTCCCAAGATATACTCCTTTTCTGAGTGACTATTAGCACATGTGTTTTGTTTACAATCTAGAGTCACTTATAGCTAGGGTAAAGACAGCAAAATCAGAATAAACATTCCAATTCACTGCAAATCTTAGCACAAGGCAGCAAATGATAAGAAGTAGGTGACAAAATTTAGCCCCTCAGACATTCTAATCATGGAGAAAACAGACAGAGGTACAGAACTATTTCCAGAACAAAGACCTTTGAATAATATATCAATTATGAGTATTCTCAAGCAAGCCATTATGAAGCTTAATTGGTTTAGGTTGTGGTTTGTAAATGTGAATAGCTCCCTTTGATTTAATCAAGTTTAAATAACTGTAGTTTAGCAAATCTGAATGGCTAAATTTTGAAAATCGCTGTGTGAATTATTAAATTATTAAGATTCACAGAATCAAAGTAAGGGCTTGTTATGCATTCAGTGTTTTGAATGTCAGTATCACTGCTTTTATGCATCTTAATTTTGAGTGTCAACAGTATGCTATTAATCTTGTAGGTTTCTTTACAAGACTACACTATCTACTTTGGCACTGGAGGTTAAGCAGACCTAGTCTTAAATCTTGTACTAAGATATGTAGTTAATCATGTCCTTGTTGAAAAATGCTTGCGAAAAAGAACGTTTAATAGAGCCTAACCTCATAGTACATTAAGAAAATCAATGAAGACATACAGAATGTACATAACTTTTCCTGTAATAATTTCCTGTACTTTCAGGGGTACAGAGGAATACATGTGTAATTCATATAATAAAAATTATACATGCACCCACTTTATCACATTAGGAAACTTTGGTTTGCAGAAAGTTTTGAACCTTGGTATATGATCAGCACATAACAATCAATAACAAAGCATCTTGACACACATATACTTATGTGGGCAACATGTTTTGTATAAAATGGTTGTTTGTCCCATCTCAAAATTAAAACTTGAACCCATGTTTCGATGCACAATTTTAGTTCTAATTTTATTCTGAGAAGCTTATATTTTTACAACAAGGAAGTCCCTTATTCTGAATAGACAACAGGAGAAAATCTCTTGCAAGATAAGTAAGTTTGTACTTTTAACAAACTACACATAAATGCTGAAATACAAACGCTGGATGCAGTATGGTGTAGTGTTTCAAATACCGGAGGCTAAAAACAATCTGCCTCAAAACTTTGCCCTATTTTAATTCATTGTTTCAAAGCTACATCAGGCTTGTCAAAAGAAACAGTCTTATATAATCCAGAATGCAATGTCCCTCTAGGAAGCGGACATAAATAATGTGAATTATATTTCACAGAATCTCCTGCACAGATAGTGGTAAACTGTATCATGAACAAAATATTAAAATTGATGGGGCTTTTTATTATAGTAATAAAATAAAATTTAATTTTAAAAAGGCCTTTACTTCTACAGTCAATATCTGAATAAAAGTCAGACTATTGAAATCAATTTTCCATATCACTCCATATTTCTGTTTGCTATACACTTACTTTTCACTTTAATGTCCTTGTAATAAGTTTTGAATATGTACAGGAAAAAAGTCAGCAAAGCAAGATGATAATTTCAAGCCAGCAAAGACAAACAGGATCAAGAGTTCTGCAAGACAGACATACCAGAATTAGATTTTAAATTTTAAAAAAGGCAACAAAGGATGAAGCTGAAAATATGCATAACAAACCCTGTTGCTTAAATGCAACTTTCTCACAAGTAGACAGTGCTAAACTTAGTATTGAGATTCATAGGAATTTAAGTTAAAAGCCACTAGCACTTTCTCTCAATGACTCAATGAATTTCCCTAATCATCCCACAAAACTGATTTTATGAATGATCAAAACTGATTATATGGAACTGATTTAGGGGATTTTACCAAGCTAAATACCCAAGAAACAGATTCCAAATCTTCCTGCCTATTTATAAAGCAATGTTTCCATAAAATTTCTTTTAACACCCCTACCCACAAGAAGTCTGATTCTTGAGATTTTGTGATGCTAAACAGATTTGAAGGAATGTTTATAAATACTCTTATATGTAATTACAGAAACTGACATACCAACCCAAATTTGCTTTTCATGTGAAATCAGGTTCATCGACACGGAGAGGTCAAAATAGTAAATACGACAGCCACAACTGCATGACTGAAACCACACCCCTTTTTACATGTCTACACATACAACATGTGTAAAAATGGGTGGGACTTTGACCATATGGCTACAGCTACCATACTATATCGACTTTAAAAAAAAAAAATTATTGAAAGTTGTAAAAATAATAAAAAATACAAACCAAATTCAAAGAGAGAAAAGAAAAAGAATAAAGTGCAAGGAAAGAAAAGAGAGAAAGTGGTTAAAGAAAAAAAGAGAAATAATTAAAGAAGTGACTTCCAATCTTCATCACAAGTACAGTCAAACTTAATATTTCTTCCCCCCTTATAAGGTTGCATACATATATCTCTTCTTCCCACAGCCCATCCCTTATCCATTCACAAATCCATAAATCATTAACATTTCAGTCCAGTTGTCAGCAAAAAGTCTGTAAAGGGTTCCAGAATTTATCAGATTATATCTTGTTTTAACCCTGGTCAAACAAATCAGCTTTAAATTCCTTGCTTTTGCTTCTAACAGTCTTAGTCTTTGATCCATTCAAATGCTGTCGTAGGTTTTAATCTTCTTCCTTTCTTTCTCCCATCTTGGAAGTTGCTTCAAGGCCTTAGCAACCCTCTTTTGTAAATCAAGAAGTTGTAATCCAGATCATTATCTTGGCTTGTCATTTGTATTTCCACTTTAACTGCCATCTCTATCTTGTAATTCACAATTTATTTTCTAGTAAATCTGCATAAGCTTGTTTCACCTCTTCATCCTGTAGATCTTTCAAAGCATTTTCTTTGACCACTTCTTCTTTTGTAAATAATACATAAGTAAACATTATTTCTGCCATTGTAGCTACAAGTCTCTGTGTCCATTCTTCAGAAGTGTCTTGAAATGACTCAAATTTCACAGCATTATCTGTCATTTTGTACAAACCAATGCTTACTCTCCAATTCAAAAGTGAGAGGCAGACATTTTTCTTTTCTTGCCTGGAGTCTTTAGTCCCCTCTAGTGTCTAATTTCTGAAATCATAAAGGCTCGAATCTCTGTTGTTAGTTTGACAGACTAAACAAAATTGTATTCCCACCATTCATTCATTCAT